AGGGTACCCAGTATACACCCAACTATATGGAACCTAAGAAGCTGAGTTTTTCTCTTCTGTCTTTGGGATGAATTCATAAGATGGTGGGAATCCTCAAACATAGAAAGGGCGTTCAAAGATTATTTTATACCTAAAACACATAACACTTAATAAGTGCCTATTGATTTATTATCCTTCACTATCCCCCATTAAAACAGTACCTTTGGGGTCATCTAATCTACACCTCTTGTATTACAAAGGAGAAAACAGAGCAATAAAGTGATTTGATCATGGTCAGACTTTTAGTTCTTAGTAAAGCCGATATTGTAGTTTGAAGATATATTCTAGGGAAAGATTCTGAAAGGCATGATACAATGTACAGTGACATTACAGTTTTCTTGTGCTAAGAATTGCTTGTGTGCATTATTGTGAAAGTACTAGCTATTCACATTCTTAATATTTACTTTTGGAAACACTCTAAAATTGTAGGTTTGCAAAATTAATATTAGCTTAATTTTTTTCTATGTTGTTATATGCGGCAGTCTGTTAGTTGTCCCTCAACATCTTTTCACCCCTCTTCCACAGTAATAGAAACCCTGAATTTTTATTGGACCATGACCATCAAGAATAAAGATTATATTCCTAGCTTCTTTTGCAGCTATGTGTGGTCATAGGATTATACTCTGGATGTAACCAGAATTGTTGTATGCGACTTTTGGGAAATGTTCTTAAAATGTGGGGCCTTCCCTTTTTCCTCCTTCCTGCTGACTGGAATGCAGCTGGAGCTCCAGGAGCTATGGACAATGAGGAGATCTTGAGAATGTAATACTCACATGGTAAAGCAAGACAGGAGACTGGATTCCTAACACCATGGAGCACCATAACAACTGTGGACTTTCGAAAGACAAAGTTTCTATCTTGTTTGTTATTTTAGTTTACTTTTTCTGGTATTTGTAGCTGAACCAGATCCTAACTCATAATCCCCCGCCTAGCCACCTTGATTGCTAATGCTGATGCAGACCTAACTGGGTGATGTGACTCCAGCTGCCAGTACAAGGCAGGGAGGGGCAAGTAGATACCATAATCTTGAGGTGGAGTCCTCAAGTACACAGCAGACTCCTACCACCAGCCAGTCCAGCGCTTACCTAAGTGATAACCCCAAATAGCACCAGCCAATCAACAAGATTCATAGATTTGCTTTTGAAATGTGGGCTAGAGAAACTTCATTGTCTTTTTGCTTTGAAAGATTTGTGCCATTTCTCTTCTTTCAAACCTCATCTCTGGACTCAGTTCCCCGCTTGCCAGAATAACTTTTACACTACATACTTAATCTTTGGTCTTTAATGGTTTATTTTTTATTAACACCATTTTTTAAAATATTGTTTAAAAAGTTTTAATGCTATGGACTATGGGAAAGCTATCTTTTATATCTCTGATGAAATTGCTAAGGAAAATATAATTCTAGTATTCCTCACATATGAAAAAAAGAAACAATTATTAGTCTTTGACAATAATATGTCAATGCCTTACAACTGTGGTAGTTATATTCACATGGGCTCACAAACAATTATTTGCCAAGGTATTTACATTTTCTAAAAAGGTCAAACATTCTAAAAATTATATAGATAATAATAGGTAACATTTATTAAATACTATTATTTAATCCTCATAACCCTACAAAGTAGGTAGTATTATTAATAATGAGGAAACTGAAGCATAGTCAAAAGTCATCAAGTACTAAATGATAGAAATGAGATTCAAACTCTCAGAGCTTTTGCTCTGGGCTTTTTTTGTTTTGTAGGGTGAGAAGGGTGGTATATAACTTTTTAATTTCTCAAAGTGTGTTTATATCTACTTTATTAGACATTCAGTAGAGAATATAGACTATCCGGATAATTAGAAGAAGTCTCTTGCCTCTTGAGGATGACATAGTTCCTGTTCAAGTTAATGTTAATTTAGTTAATTGCTTAATATTAATATAATTATCTTGCATATATAGAAATAAACCATAAAACTAAGGAAAATGTGGTATATATACATATTTGCACACATAATTTTAGATAAAGCTTATAATTTATTTTATATTTTCACATCCTTGATTTATTGCTTTATAATTTTAATGAAATATTCCAAGCTACAGAAAAACAGAATATTGTTACAAACATTTATGTCCCTGGCTTGTCAAATCTTGATGCTATATTTGCTGCAGATAACTTTTTTTGGTCTTTTGAATAGTTAATACAATTATATGTTCAAAAAAAAGTAGAGTTAAGTCCTCATCCCACCCTGTCCCGTATGCCCAGGTCCCATCCCCACAAGTGTTACATATCTATTTCCCTCCAGTTTTGTGTGCTAGTGTGCATGTGTATATGGAAACAAATATGATTACATTTGGACTCACTTAAAAATTAAGAGTCACAAACCTTTGACATTCTTCTTTGTGTCTACACTCCTAACACTAACTCTTTACTCCTTTTTTAATCTCAGCTCATCATTCAATAAGCAATTAATAAAAATCCATGTTCAAGATATTCTGTTAATTCTGAAGAATGAGTAGTTTCTCATCAAATTGTTTGCCTGTGTCCTTCCTACTCCATCCACGATCCAGTTTTCTAAAAAACAGACCTGTTCCTACAGTCTAAACGCCGAGAGCATAGCAAAGGTGAGCTTTATGCAAATGTGAAGCCGAACCCCTCCGAGGGATGCGGGAGGAAGGAAGCTGTGGGGAGGGGAGCGGTGGGATGGGCGGGGCCCGAGGAAGGCGGGGTCGGACGCGTGTGGGCGTGACCTGAGGGAGGAGGGTCCGGCAGCTACTTCCGGGCCGTGCGCGGATTTGGCGCCAATTGCGGAGGCCTCTTTTCGCGGTAGCTTTAGAGTCTCGCGAGAAGCGCGGCTTTCTAACGGCGCCAAGCCGGGCGCTGTGGCCTCTGCTGTCTGCGTGAGGTGAGAGTGGGCAGCGGGAGAGTGAAGTCGCTGAGGGGAGAAGCGGCCGAGGGTCTCGGGCGGAAGAGCCAGGGTGCTGGGGAGTAGTAGCAAAGGCCGGAGTGAGGAGGGTGGAGTACAGGACTGAGGTGGCCTTGGGCTGAGCCAAACAGGCGAGGCCTGACCGGCCTGGACCTGTGGGGAGAGGAGACCGGTGGGGACAAAGGCGGGCATGTTGACTTTTTGTTTCTGTTTCGGGTCTGCCCCTCACTAAACCTAGCCTTTTAGCGGGAGGGAACGTGTGTCAGAGACAGCTGTACGTGGCCAGCTTCTGTAATAGCTTCTGAACATAAAAGGCGTGCGGTGACTGATGAGTGAAGTTGAAGTGAGGGAATAGACGGGAGCGGGAATGAGGGTGTTGGGGAATGGATGGGATGGGCAATGCAGTGTTTCCAGGGATGGTTAGCAAAGAGCGATGTCGAGTCTGTCTGGTACAACCTCCCTTGCTAACGGGGCTTCTGTGTTGATAACTTGGAAAAAGTTGGACCTTGGACATCTAAAGGGCCCTGGAAACGAACTGTAGTTTGGACATTACATTTCTTTGTTACGTTAATTCCTCTGGGAGTTTGAGGACTAGAGGAAGAAGTTAAGAGAATTTCATCTATGTCTAAACAGAGACAGTAAAGAGACAATGCAACCATTATCAAGAAGTGAAAGATATAAGATATAAAATTAAATTTAAAAAGGAAGAGGAATAGAGATGACTTGTTCACTCTCAGTTTACAGCCCCACCCCTGCTCGGCCAGTTCCTTACATTTCATCTCACCACACTTAATATAGTTTGTGTCCTGTCATCAAACTCAGAGCTCCCTGATGGCCTCAAAGATGTGAACCCCATTTCTTCCTACAGAGCTTAACTAGAAGGGGGCTAAATATATTTTTTGTAGATAGGAAGCTACTTGAGAGATTATGCCTTTCTTTCAATTTTGAAAATCTATGGTTCTTGAACCTTATTTGAAGAAACTGGGTCATCATCAAGAGTTGATATTTACTTTGTTTTTATGTATTATGGTCATGGGAATTGGAGAGTCTAGAGATCATCTAGCTCCAGTAATTTTACAGTTTGGGGGGAACCTTTGGAATTCTTTTCTTCATTCCTTCATTCAACAAATACATGTTGAGCATCTGCTGTGTACCAGCGTTGGGAATGCAATGGTGAAGCACAGAGAGACCTACTTGGTCTTTGCCCTTTTAGAGCTGCAGCCTAGTATGGGAGACGAACATTAATTAAATAATCACTGTGAAGGCTTATTATAGGAGGATTTAGTTTAGGGAAATTGGGCTGGACTTTTCTGTGGAAGTGATAGTGGAGATCTGAAAGAGGTTAGGAGTCAAGGAAGAGCCTTCAAGATAGGAAATGTCCTTTGCAAAAGTCTAGTGGCTCTTTCAAAGAACTGAAAGAAAAGAGCATGAAGAGTGTTGTGAAGTGAACCTGAAGTAGGAGGGTGCCAAACCATGCTGAGCCTTAGAGTTTTATCATTATGCTAAGAGCAGAAGGAAGCCATTGAAATATTTAAGGCAAGTGGTAAAGTGATCAGCTTTACACTCCATAGGTTCAACTTAGCTGTAATATGGAGAATGTTTCAGAAAAGGCAAAAGCGGATAGGAGTAACAGAGTAATCCAAGTAGAAATGTTAGGAAGTGGTTGTGGAGATAGGGAGAAGAACCGATTCAAGGGATATTTACGAGGTAAAATGGACAGGATATGTAGAGGGAAGGAAGTGTCAAGGATGACTTGTAGGTTTCTGACTTACTTAGCTGGATAGATGTCATTCAGTGAATTGGGAAAAGTAGAAGTTTGGTTTTGTTTGGTTTTAGGTGCCTTTGAGAAATTTATATAGGGGTGTGTGTGTGTGTGTATCTTTATTTCAGAGAGGGGAAGGGAGAGGGAGAGAGAGATATAGAAACATCAGTGATGAGAGAGTCACTCTCTCACACCTGTACACCCTACTGGGGATTGAGCCCGCAACCGGGGCATGTGCCCTGAGTGGGAATTGAACGTTGATCTCCTGGGTTATAGGTTGATGCTTAACCACTGAGCCATGCCAGCCAGACAACTTTGAGAAATTTAAGAGCTGTAAAATGAAAAGTGGGGATCTGGAGCTCAGATGTGATGTCTAGGATGGAGATAAATTAGTGAGTCATCTGTAAATGCTTATTAAAGCCATGCGCATAAATGAGTGAAGAGAGCCTAGGATGGAGTCTTGGATACTTACTGACCAGGTTAGAGAAATATGAATCTTCAAAGAAGATACAAGAGGAATGTCCAGAAAGGGAGGCAAACCAGGTGAGTACTATGTTTCAAAAGTCAGTGGAAATGCTTTTCCAGAAAAAGGAACTGATCAAAAGTGTCAGCTGTTGCTGAGAGTTCAAGTTAGATGGTACTGAAAAGTATTCTTTCAAGTTATCAACCTGAGGATTATTTCTGTTTCTTCAAGGGAAACCTTTAAAGTGGCAGGTGAGGTACCCATCTTCCGCATATTTCACACCCATTTGGACCATAGTTTGAAACCCTCTGAAAAGCCTAAATCATTTTATGATAAAGAAAGCTCAACAGTTGAGGTAAAAATGACTTGTTCAAAATTAATACTGTTATTTAGTGGTAGGGTATACATTAGAACTGGGTTCTCTTTTTTTATTTTTATTTTTTATTTTATTTTTGTTTAAAATATTACAGATGTCCCTTTTTCTCCCCAATGACCCGTTCCACCCCATCCCATCCCTCTCCCCAGTCCCTCTCCCCACCATTGTCCATGTCCTTGGGTTGTGCATATATGCACATAAATTCTTTACTCTCTCCCCCTCTACCCACCTGCCTTCCTCCATCCCTCTGACATTCGTCAGTCTCATCTGTGCTTCTATGTCATTGAATCTATTCTGTTCATCAGTTTATTAAGTTCTTTAGATTCCACGTATAAGCAAGATCATGTGATGTTTGTCTTGGGTTCTCATTTTTAGCCCAGTTCTTTTTTCCATAACAATTATCATCCCCACTTCTTTTCATCATGTGTGAGTTTGAAATATGGTTTAACTGACAAACACTTGAATTTTGCTGTAGGTGGATCTTAACTGTGTAATAGAAAGTCTACTTGGATGAATAAACATGTTTACTTTTTTTCCCCCAGAGGAAAAGATGCTGGAACCACAGGAGAATGGGTTGATTGACCTACCAGATTATGAGCATGTAGAAGATGAAACTTTTCCTCCTTTCCCACCTCCAGCTTCTCCAGAGAGAGGAGATGCTGAAGAAGCTGAACCTGATGACGGTCTGTATAGAGTTCCAAAAAAATGTGTTCAGTTATCCGTCTGTCAGCTAATAAAAGATACATTTTATAAGTGAGGTTTAAGTTATTCAAGTAATATTAAATTTTGTTATATTTCACCAGAGTCAGGAAGAGGAGCACCTGTTCTTGTAACTCCAAAGAGGACAGTTAAAAGGAATATACCCAAGCTGGATGCTCAGAGGTATATTTACTATTTCCTTAAACATTTGCACTTTTTTTTTTTCCTTTTTTTTTTTTCTTCTTATGTTACAGCCTTTTGATTGGGATGATTTGGACATAAGATATTTATAAAGATTTTTTTCAGTTCAGATAATGTCTTTTCTTATGGTCTTGTTTTGGCCTTGAAAGCTCTAGAAAACTTGGAATTAAAAACATATTTCTTTTCACAGATTAATTTCAGAAAGAGGGCTTCCAGCATTAAGACATGTGTTTGATAAGACAAAATTCAAAGGTAAAGGTCATGAGGTAAGAAGTATCTGGTTTTTATTTTAGACCTTTGTTTTTTAAGATACAGTTGTCCTCATGCATGGGGGATTGGTTCCAGGACCATGGCGGATGCCAAAATCCACAGATGCTCAAGTTCATTATATAAAATGGCATAGTATTTGCACATAACCTACTTTAAGTTATCTTTAGATTACTTGTAATGCCTAATACAATGTGAATGTTAAGTAAATAGTTGTTATATTACATTGTTTAGGAAATAATGACAAGAAAAAAGAAGTCTGTACATGTTCACTACAGACGCAGCAACCATCATAGGTCTAACTACATAGCACATGTTAGCAACAGAATAACATTTTTTTTGCCTGAATATTTTTATCCCACAATTGGTTGTATCCATGTATGCAGAAGTCACTCATATGTCGGGATGAATGTATCTATAAAACTGGGCCTGTTAGGAATTCTTGGAGTGTTTCACAGATACAGTCACTCATCATCATATCTTTTGAGAAACTATGATTTGGAAAAGGCATTGTTAGAAGAATCAGAAAACATGTCTTCTAGTCTTGGTTTTGCACAGTATGGCTTTAGTAAATCATATCTGAGTCAGTAAGCGTGAGTTTGTACTTTATAATTTTGAGGAATAAAGTTTACTTTATCTACTTCAGAGAGTGGTCTTAAGCTTTATGAGAGCAAGGACTTTACCTGTATTGATCACTTACATGTCCCCAAGATATGGCACCATGCCTGGTTCATAATAGGCATCAGTTAAGTTTTGTTGAAAAATGGAGATATTTAAGAATTGTGAATCACTGGACAAATGTACATTTAAAATTTTTCTTATCTTTGAATCATGTAGATACATTTTTTTGCAGATGATATCTTTATAGAGCTTTGCAGTTTATGAAGTATTTTCAAATATATTCTTTTAATTCCCAATTTGTGGGATAGGTGTTGTTCCCATTATTTAATTAAGGAGACTGAGTTTTAGAGTTTTAAGTGTCCAATGACAACAGTTAGGGCAGAGCCTAGATTTCCCATTTTATAGCCCAGCTTGAATAATGTTAAAAAAAGTGAGCACCATCTTGGTGCGGTATTCAGGATAAGTGGAAAGAGAAGAGATGAAGCAGACAGCAATTCAGAAGCCAGTGCACTACCAGTGGAACAAGGTGAAAATAGTTTGGATAGATAGGGTAGTAGTAGAGATCAACATACAGTACTAGTAGTTGATTGGATTTAGGAAGGTGGCAAAAGGAATCAAAAATAATCCCAACATTTCAAATCTGGGAGGGTGAAAACTTGTACGTTTGCTCAGCTTCGGTGGACTGGAAGAGACTATAAGCCTGTGTCGTGTTTTGCCACAAAACTAACATAAATCAGGATATATTAAAGCCATACCAGCTCACTTAATTCATTGCCCTTGAAATTTTCAGGTAGTAATGATGAATTGGTGCTTTGAATTTATGAAGTCTTCATCATTTTCATAGTAAGATAAATTTATATGAAGGGTTGATACTTTGGGTTTCACTGGGTGAGGGTGGGCTGTGAAAGAGTTTAGTCTTCTGTACTTTGCCCTTGAAAATTCTTACTATTTTATTACAATGTTGAATCCTCACTACTTTTTCCTTTATATATGACTTGGGACTTCCCATTGTATTTAGATATTTCTCTTCTTGTGTCCCTTGAGTCTAACATGGCATTGTGAGGTGGCTGGCCAGCTATGCCCAACAATTGGAAAATGATCTTAGGTGATTGAATTTTTAAAAGAATGTCTATCTTTATTATCAGAATGAGAATGATAAGACATTACACTCTCAGTATTACATATTTTGTTGTTGGTAGAGATGATTGTCTTAACCATTGGCTTAAACAAGATTAAATAACAACAATAATTGCCAACATTTGAGTGCTCACTTTGTATCAGGTGCTTTACTTATATTACTTAATCTTCATAATAACCCGATGTATGTATATTATCATTCTCATTTTATACATGAAGAAATAGGCACAGAGAAGCATTTTGTTCAGAGTCACAGCTGTTAAGTAGTAGAATTGAGATTTGAATTTATGTAGTCTGAGCCAGAGCCTGTGCTTTTAACTACTCTATTTTAAAATTCTGTTAAGAATAAAATATTTTATGGTAAAACCTGGAATTTGGAACTTTTCTCATTAATTAGTCCAATTTATTTAAACTTTGTATTTCATTTAATTTTTAAAAAATTTATTGTTAAATTTAAATTTCAAATACAGGTATTCTGGTCTGAGAGTGTTTAAACTGTTCTTGCTGATCTTCAGTACTTTGCCCTTGGGATTTCTGAATGTATTTTCACAATGCTGAATTCTCAGTGCTTTCTTCTCTATATATGATTTAGGGTACTGCCACTTTGTTTAGTTACTCCTAAAAGATATCTTGACATATTTTATTAAAGCTTTTTTTTAGTGTTACTTTACTATCCAGAAAAAAATGCGACTATCTTTTAACTTTTATTATGCTTCCATCTTTTATTTTTCCCTCTTATTAAAAAAAATTGTATCCAGTGCTCTTTTAGACTGCATCCTCTAAGCCCTTAATAGATACTTTTCTTTTTAGAGTTTCTTTACCTTATAAATGTAAAATGACACCAGTGACTTTGCCATTGCTATTCAATTTTAAAATCTGCTGACAAGATCAGTTCTGAGAATGGGTTTCCTATTTAGCATTTTTATTTTTATGTGCCAGGCTGAAGACTTGAAGACGCTAATCAGACACATGGAGCACTGGGCACATAGGCTATTCCCTAAACTGCAATTTGAAGATTTTATTGACAGAGTTGAATACTTGGGAAATAAAAAGGAAGTTCAGGTATGTGTTTAGATTATTATGAATATCATTCACAGTGTTGACTAGTACAAGGATAGATTTAGTTAAAGCTAAGTTAGTTAAAGCTGGGGTCTTCATTTTGAAATCTGTCTTGCTAGAGAAGGAAAATGAACAGTAGTTATTTAAATGACACCTTTTTTGAAACTCAGAATGGAATAAATTACCATTTCCCCCCAAATGTCATTAGTAAAAATACGTATAAAAATATCTCTTTATTTTCAGACCTGTTTAAAACGAATTCGACTTGATCTCCCTATTTTACATGAAGATTTTATTAGCAATAATGGTAAGAATATAGGTTTATCTACTTTTATAACAATTTTTCCTTTAGAAATGGATTTAGTTGGTGTGGACAGTACTACAGGACTGGGCTCTTAGTCTATTTTGAGTATATAATTAAAGTATAGTAAATAAGAATGAGTTAAATTGCTTTGGTACATTTAGAATGTTTTGTATGACATTTGTTTCTTTAAAGACATGGCTGCAGTGCTATTAAGAGATATAAAAATCTATTTAGCCATAGAACATGAGCTTTTAAGAACTCTGATGGTAACCCACAGATCCTTTCTAGTGCTTGTTAGTAAAAATGTAGTGTTCATTAACATGTACACCATTAAGAAAGTGGCTCTGGGAAATTCGAATAATTTGATGAAGAAATAGTTTACATTTCACTTAAGAGTGCAGATCCTACGTGACTGTGCCTGGTATTGGTTGCATTTGTTGGCTGTACAGTGCAACCATAGGCAGTCACACACATCAAAACATATGGTTCCTGCCGACAGGGTCTGTATAGTTATCAGATTTTCTGTGCGATGGCTCCATACATGTTTGTTTTTGTTTTTGTTTTTAAATATATTTTTATTGATTTCAGAGAAAGGAAGGGGGAGGGAGAGAGAGAGAGAGAGAAATATCAGTGATTGGCTGCCTCCTGCACACCCCCTACTGGGGATGGAACCCACAACCCGGGCATGTACCCTGATAGGGAATCAACTTCTATCTCCTAGATCATAGGTCAGTGTTCAACCGCTGAGCCACACTGGCTGGGCTGTTTTCGTTTAGTGCTTGTTAGTAAAAATATAGTGTTCATATACATGTACACCATTAAGGAAGTGGTAGAAATGGTAGATATGGTAGAAAATACATGCTCCATATAGAATTCCCCCAAGTTATTTATAAATCACTTTTAAAAGTATAAAAGATTGTGATTTAAATAATCCATGATTTAATTTTTTGGTAATATATGGTATTTACCAATGGCATAGGATTTTGTATATGGAAAGGAATCAGTTATTATAGTACTAGATCCCACAGCATATACCACTGGGTTAGTTTATTTAGCAGCACTTTTTGGGCTGTGTACTGTATGCTAAAGGTCAGGGATAAAGATACATAAGATGAGACCACTTGTCTCACAGGCTAACAGGCTGGTGAACAAGTGAGACATATAACGTTGCCAGTGATTTGATATATGCTGTAACTACAGATATGAACAGGGCACAGGGTAGGATGCAAGGGCAAGTGGTTACTTTCACCTAGGGGAGGGGAAAGCTTCACAGAGGAGGCATCATAAGAACTTTGAAATATAAGCAGTAACAGTCAGACAGGTGATTTTGGATACAGGGAGCCATGTATGCAGAGGAGTAAATGAATACAGACCACAGAATCACAGGCATGCTAAAATATAGGGTACACAGAGAAGGTCTGTATCAGAGAGCCTTGTTTGTTGAATCTTTTTTTTTTTTTTGTATCCTAAGGGAATAGTCTCCAAACCTTTTGGATCAGACACCACAAAAATAAAAATGTTTTGAGCATTTTATTTACTTATTTTTCTAATACATTTACTACTATGCTGATCATAATGTACATTTTTGTTGTCACCAAAACATAACCATACAGTTTTAAAGTCAGAACAATATGAATAAGTATTCTACCGAATTAAAAAAAAAATCTTGGGCTAGTACTTCTTGATCAGTGATTTGATGGTGTAGTTGTAGATTGTTTTTCCCCTCAAATCTTGGTTTTTACCTTACTGCGATACATAAATCCAAATGGAAGTAGATCATCATTAACTGTACTTAATAAATCTTGATATTCATTTTTTAATCCCATTCACCAATGCAAAGATTTTTGTTGGAAATTTACTAGAAAATTTTCATTTACCCTTTTGTAATCAATTGGTTTTCTTAAAAATTAAGCAGGGGTTATATTTTTGTATTTTTAACTAATGTGTAGTCATGTCAGTCCTCCACTCAAAGCCCTTTAGTGGCTTCTTATTTTATTCAGTGTAAAAGCCAAAACCCTTCTAATGTCCAGCATGGCCCTACAGAATCTGTACACTAATTAAAAAATATGCATGACTAGTTGCCGCTCAGCCAGAGCCAAGCCTTCTGGACATGCATATTTTTAAATTAGTGTTTGACATAAAATGCCCCTTTTAAGTGATTTATAAATATTACTTTCACTTGTTTGAATCAAGCATGTGTTTGTAACATCCTCATGCCTCACAAATTGTTTCTTCTGGTCTGCACCTCGTCACTTTAAACTGGTTTTAAATTAATAGCTACATGAGCTCTTTTTCTACTTAGTTTAATACTAAAGATGTACTCACTTTTTCTTTTCTACTGCAGATGAAGTAGGGGAAAATGATGGCCATGATGTAACTGCTGCTGAATTAGATCCCTTTTTGACAAACTCATCTGAAAATGTGACGTTTGCTTCTGAGTCAAGTAGGAGCCTAACTGAAGAGCAACAACAAAGAATTCAGAGAAATAAACAGCTGGCCTTGGAAAGAAGGCAGGCAAAGCTACTGAGTAATAGTCAGTCCCTAGAAAATGGTAAATTTTATGTTGGTTTTTATGTGCTGCCATTAATATAGCAAGGGCATGTTAGAAATTTTAACTTCTCTACTACCTCCCAAAATAAAATACCTCTAGGAATAGAAAAATGACATAGTATATATTAAGTTTATGTACACTTGAGAGAAAGAGACAGTGTGTGTGTGTGTGTTAGTGTTAGCGTGTTAGCTATTTGCAATCCACAAAGAATAAGTGAGTGCAAGATGGTTTTCTGAATAGTTGAGTACCTCTTTAAAAGTTATTTTAATCATTTAAAATTGATTCTGAGTCTGTCAAAAACATATTCTTCTTTGACTCCTTAAAGCATGTAACACATAATTTTATCTTTAGAATTATAATTAGGAACATTAATTATTATGGTACTTTCCTTAAACATATAAAATGCCTTTTATACCCATTGAGTATTTTAGAGCCATTTGCTATGATGTGAATAGGTGGTCCTAAAATGTTTTTTTAATTGCATTGTGTCACTTGTTGTGAGCTATCAGTTTGATTACATTACATTCCCTTCTCTCGAGTAAAGCTACCTTAAATTGTGCTGTTTTTATTTTTTTTCAATATTTTTGTTGATTATTTTAGAGAGAGGAAGGGAGAGAGAAGGAGAAACATCGATGTGAAAGTAGAACATTGATGCCTCCTGCATGCTTCCTACCTGGGATTGAGCCTGTAACCTGGGCATGTGCCTGACTGGGAATCGAAGCAGCAACATTTTGTTGTACGGGATGATGCCCCACCCAGCCACAATGGCCATGGCAAAATGTGCTGTTTTTAAAATAGACTGTCAGTTTGAAAATTAGACAGCCAAGTTTGTTAAAACTGTATTTAAAAATAATCGCAGCCTCTAGCCAGCTTGGCTCAGTGGTTGGAGTGTTGGCCCTTGGACTGCAGGGTCCTGGGTTGGATTCCGGCCAAGGGCACATGCCTGGGTTGCAGGCTCAATCCCTGGTCCTGGTCGGGGCTTGTGAGGGAGGCAACCAATCAATGTGTCTCTCACATTGATGTTTCTCTCTCTCTCTCTCCTACTGTCTCTGAAAAGCGATGGAAAAAATATCCTCAGGTGAAAATTAAAAATAATAATGGCAGCCCTGGCTGGGTAGCTCAATTGGTTAGAGCATTGACCCAATATGCCAAGGTTGTGGGTTTCATCCCTAGACAGGACACATACAAGAATTAACCAGTGAATGCATAAAGAAGTGGAACAACAAGTCGATGTTTCTCTCTTAATCAATCAATCAAATCAATAAAAAATAAATAAAATTGCAAATTGGTTTGAGTGAAGCAAGATGGCATGTCATTCTCAATTTCCAATCCAGTTTTTCCTTTTGAAATGGGAAAATAAGAATTATAGTAAGTAGTGAAAAATTATCATGTTATAAAACAAGTTTTACCCAAGATAATAAAATTCTCAAGTGAAAATTATTGAAAATCAAATGAATTTAATTTTTAAATTTACAAATGGCTCTTTTATTTCCATGTGAAAAATTACATGAAGATAAAATTATTGTTGATAGCAGTGTCTTCCTTACTGTTATTATCAAGGCAATAAGCATCTTAAGGCTCATCTTTTATTTATAATACACGACTTTAAAATTTGCCCAAGTAGAAATAAGTATCTAAAATTTCCTTTACTATAGATCACTTTGACATACAGCTGTTAAGAGCATTTAATCTTTAAGACTTCTGTTCAGTAGTTGTGATTATGAATGAGAACAGTTTCATTTGGCAGTGATTTGAGAGTTTGAGTTCAGTGTCTTTCAAGACCTCTTGCATTTAAAAAAAAATTTTTTTTTAATTTTATTTATTGATTTTAGAGAAAGGGAGAGAGAAAGAGAGAAAAAAATATCAATTTGTTGTTCCACTTATTTGGTTTTTCCTTGTATGTGCCCTGATGGGATCGAACCGTGACCTTGGCATATTGGGACTAAGCTCTAACCAACTGAAATACCTGGCGAGGGCCAAGACCTCTTGTGTTTTTTAATGAACTTTATATATGTATAAAAATGGCTTTTTTGGGGGGGAAGAAAGTAATCGTAATTAACATGAACTAAAATGATCATAGATATCATTTCTTTTGATCTAAGCTTGTAAAGAGTTGTGTTAGGCAAGATTGGAGTAGGTGCTTAAGTAATGTGTAATGATGCTTTCCCTTTCAGACTTGTTAATGAACACATCCGGGGCACAGACAGTTGAAGATGTTAATACAGGTGAGGATCTAAACGAGGAGGAATCAGATGGACTTAACAAAGACATTCTAGATAATCCACATAATGGTGCTGCTGCCAATACTGTAAATGAAGAGGAGGAGTTAAAAATAGAGAAAACCCAACTGGACCAATCCTTTTAAAATGCTTCATCTAGAAATGTTACTGAAGTTGGATAGGCCTCAGCTAAGAGGAAATTAACTTGGTATCCTCCAAGTTTGAGATTCCTATGTATTTTGCCTACTTTGAGTGAAATCCTTATGTAGTAAAACCTTTACAGATTCCTGCTTAAAATCTGGTATTATTTATAATTATACTTGTTTCTTATTAACTTTAGTTAATTCTTATTTATTCTTTTTAGTGTTTTTGTATAGATATGACTTCATAATGATTGGTAGTTAATAAGCAGCTTCTGCCAGTGTGCCATTGAGTGTCTTGTTTTCACTAAATTAGGTGGTGTTTTAAGATGTAAATATATAATGAGTATTAATGTCCATTTAAAAAAGAAATAAAAATCTTACAAACTATAGAGGCTTTATAAGTTTCTTACTGCTATTTCAGCAATTTACACTTTTGGTAAAATGTGTTTAAGGTTTTTATATGTGTTTACATGTATTTTGAAGAGTAACTTTAATATTTTTAAATGTATCGATTTCAGAGAGAGGAAGGGAGAGAGAGATAGAAACATCAATGATGAGAGTTGTCATTGATTGGTGGCCTCCTGCACACCCAACTGGGGATCGAATAGCGATCTCCTGGATCCTAGGTCGATGCTCAACTGCTGAGCCACCCCTGGCCGGGCAGTAACTTTAATATTTAAAGGGTCACATGAAAGGTTGATATATTGCCTGGGCTGCATAGGTGCTAGGAAGGTTCAAATGCTCCTTGGAGCATTTGANTCGATGCTCAACTGCTGAGCCACCCCTGGCCGGGCAGTAACTTTAATATTTAAAGGGTCACATGAAAGGTTGATATATTGCCTGGGCTGCATAGGTGCTAGGAAGGTTCAAATGCTCCCAGTTGGAGAGAAACTTGCAAAGTATTATGAGGATAGAGCACGTACAGCAGATTCACAGGAGACCTTGTTAGTGGGGATCCCAGGGATTGGGAAGTTTATCAGCTTGGGGAGGCGTACGGCATTGACAGGAAGTACTGCATTGACAACTAAGTTTAAAGATGGTCTCTAGTTCTTGGCAGGAGATTCCAGTGGGGGAGGAGGAAAGGCAAAGCTAGTTTTTACAAGTTAGGAGGACATGGGAAAGTTGTTTTTTATGAGAAAGACTGGCAGGGGGATGGTGCTGAAGTGGCTTCTACCCATGAAGCTGAGCATTTTGCTCAGGCGAGATGGAGAGGGACAAGGATGGTTTGGTTGAAAGGCCAGGAAGTTGAGTACAGGAACATATGAGATGGGGGG